TTCTCGTGATTCATCAATAAGACTACAGCTTCAAATGCATATTTTTGCCCTCTCACTTTATTGGAAACACCCTCCCCATTAGAACACAAGGAGCAGGTTTTCTTCAGCGAATCCCTCGAGGAGCGCACTTCACGAAAGCATTTTTTGAGGGGTAGGGGCCGATAGCAACTGACGCTCAAAGGAACTACTGATTTTTTGTGTATTATTTCCGTTCTAATTAGAACGAATGCATTTTTTATCATAATATATTAAGAAGGAAAAATTCAAGCTAGAACCAGCTTGTTGATTCTTCCGGCTGTGTGAATGGTCTGGTGCATGCTTATGCAATTCGGTTTATTCCGATATAAGACACAGAGACTTGGGCATTTCGAAAACAGGTAAAGATAGACTGTCGTTTCTCAAACACCGCTGTCTACGTAGGATTGCACAAGTCTGGTGGGGAAACCGGACGAGCAATGCTGAGGTTAGGCGTAGAGTTTTAAGTAATCACGGGAGTCCACTGGAGCAGGTAGTCTACCTCCATAGATCACGCTGGTTGGGACATGTGCTACGCATGTCACCAGATAGGTTGCCACGGCGAGCGATGCTTGTCGAGACAGGTAGCGGTTTGAAAGTAATGAAGGCCGGTCATGCTAAGATCTAGCATGAGAGTAAGAAAACCCTGACCAGGGGACTGGCTCGCATACGTCCCGTTGGGCTCCCTGACTGGGTACCCCGAGATTATAGTACTCGGTGGTTATAGACAGCGATATGGCTACGTGTCGCAAACATTGGCGCTCATGCATCTATTCATTATTTTCGTAACTTCGGTCTATGAAAATGTGCTGGTTTCCGCTTAAATCTGCTCTCAACCTTCTAATGATCATTCTGCTGTTTTATCCAAATGGGAAACCAAAATCGGTGCACAAAAGTGCATGGCTAAAGGTTGTAAGAAATGAACTGATTACGAGTTTAAACAGAACTGAGACGAGATTGGGAGTTGAGTGAGTGAAGACTGTTAGACAGTATTACAACGTATCTGTGTGAACCACTCGGAGGATTGCAGTTTAGGAGATGCAAAGATTCGGTTGTAAAGTAATGCGAAGTAAAGCAGCAGTCATTTTAAGGATAACAGGACAAAAATTCGCGGAAGCTATCCCAGTCCGCCGGAGTGCTAACGCTAAAATATGCTTCTTGATGTTGGAATTGAAAATGAACGTTTGGACCAAATGGACAGTAACGGTTGTCTGGTGAGCGCAGAGAAAGGAGAATGGTTGGGTGAAACGGAATGAATGAATGCCAATACGGAGTCAAGAATGCGATCACGCATATTGAAGTTAGTCTATTGACTTAGGTTACCAATCAAAGCAAATGATTCCGCTAAGCGTCGTTTCGGTTGTGTGAGCCAGTCTTTTTTGTGGTCGTTGCCCTCTGCAACGATGATGAAATGGCAGGTGATTTAGGTTTGCATTGGGTTTTCTATGCTTGACGCTTGCTTTTTTGTAAGACAATCGAAAAATCGCTTTCTTGGGTCGTTTATTTCGAAACTCATTGTTTGTTTTCAGGCACCTCTGTTTCGGTGGCTTAAAGTGAACTTTGGTGAGGCTTTTTCGGCCATGATACACACAAAAGCATTGCGAGTATTCGTTGAATCTGTCCTTCGGTAAGCGCTGTTTGCAGTTATCCTTCACTATATTCATAACTGTTTTCATTTGTAACCGCTCCTTGCATTTTCAATTTTACTGTTCATCCGAACTTCACGGATTTCGGATGATGGTTATGGGTGCATACATTTCGATTGTCTTTTGCCATTTCAGATCATCTCTGATACCGACGTGACGTTATCTCTTGGTGTGTTGGGACAGCTCAGCAGTTCTTGTTTAGTGTTTGGAAAGTGTGTTTATTGCCTGTAAAAGTTGGGAAACGTTCACCGAGTATGTTAAGACAACCGGATCAGCGTTACAGAGTTTGGCCCTATTCTCATCCAAAGCATATGTGTAACTAATTTGAGTGAAAACTGTTCTTGAAGTACAAAATAGTCGACTTCAGGTGCTTGTACTAATATCTAAACTACAACGAATTTAACCCAATTTTCTCATAATGCGACGGTCAACAACTAAATGCTAACGTGTTGCAGTCGAAGTTTTGATGCTAATTTCAGGTTTAAGTCACTGTCAGCGACACGATATCAGAGGTTCTAGCCGCGTTATCACCACTCAACTTTAGTTTTCAACATCATCAGCATTATACAGCGTAATACAGTGAAGCGAACTTCACTGATCTCTGCCAAACTCATATTGCGTACAAGGTAAGTGAGAATGTGGAAAAGAAAGCCAACATGTATGGTCCACACACAGAGTACAGTCCAACTGTGCATACATAATATCTCAAGCATTCTGGTCTGATAAGAACTGACAGCAAGATCACCATTGCTATCGGTGCAAAAAACATGCTTATTTATAGTAAAGAGCGCGGACAGGGGAAAACACATATCAAACGATTGGTTCACTGGATTGCTTTCAACCGTCTTGATTGGTTGGCGGTTCCGACCAATCACCTGAGTTCGCTTATCGTTTTTCTGATTGGTTGTCCCAGAACAAAGCAGTTTTCAGGGAGCATGCTGACTGCCTGGCAGATATCCACTCCAAGTTCCATCTATCGGGCGATTGATCCTCGTGATTCAGTTCAATCTTTTCCACCATTGTCAATGCTTTGGAGCTGAGCAGCGAGTTCAGACGGCGAATCACTATCCGCAACAAACAATTAAGTTAATGATATCTTCAAACAAATCTTTCTCGTCAACACTGATTATTGTCACAATGATCGGTCTATTTTTGACTTGGCAACAAGCTACGAAAACGAACTCATCTTTGTGCTGGTCACACAATAAACGTTCTCTTGACAAACGGTTTACGCAAAACACGCCCAAACAAGACCATCGTAGGAGCAGTAAGTCGCGTAGCAGTCAAGGCCCAGTTGGAGATAGGGGGTCGGAGAGAGCCATGCTTAATCGATACGGGCGCGGCAATATCGTTGGCTACACCCCAAGCAAATGAGGCCCTGTAAACATGGAATGCAACTGTGAAAACAGTCGGTGGTTATCAGTCGAAGGCAGATGAAGTAGCCCAACAAACAGTCCACGTTGGAAACAAGATAATCAATAATGATCAATAATCCATTGGTCATACCCAAAGGCACAAGCCAGACTATAGTGGGAGCAGATATCTTGCGCAGTTTAAGGGTCGTGATTGATTTGAAGAACGAACGGCTTGTTACCAAATTCGGCACGATCCCGCTGTTATGCTCCAAGAGGGAGAGGTTGTCAGCCGTAAGCACAGAAACAACTCACACGAACGTGTCGCCGTCAGTTCACAGGCGATGATGATCCGTACGGGTTCTGTAACCGGGTAAATCGATGATTCGTGTAAATTGATTCGACGAACATTTAGTCGAAGCAACCGCAACTTGGTCCGAATCCTTCTCGCCGTTCGTGGATATTGATCTCCTTTAAGGGTGTCAAGCGGCGAAGTATATCAGAAGTCAACTTCTGTGATGTTCAGAACTAAACTTATCCCGCAGTGGTTTGCGTAGTCGGAGCGATCAAAGGTTTACCCCAGGATAAAGGAATACGCTCCGCCAACCAGCCACTGAAAAGTAAGCTGGTAATCGAGTAGATGAGAGCGTTAACCCCAACTTGATAATAATGAAGAGAAGACCATCGGGTAGCACTGCCATGACTTTATTTAACGATTGGATATAACTTCGTACTTCCAATTGCGATGGGGACACTTGTTACCATTCATGGAGTTTCCACGGCCATTGCTGAGGTAGAAACTACCTCCGTTTCACTAGCTATTTTGGCTCACCAGTTTTTGCGATCTTTCTTAAGACTTCCTGAACTGACGTTGCAGGCAACATCAGTTCCTGTGCTGATACCGGTTGATTGGGTTCTTTCGCTTTTGTTCCATCAGGATTACTGACTCATGAGAGATCAACTGTCTTCGGCGAACTTCGGGCTCGGTCCCACAAGCAAATTTTGCTGAGTGCATCACGAATCTAATTTGACTATGGTCGCGGTTCTTCTAGTTTATGTCCCAGCTTCCCATAACGTGCGCAGACAGATGGATCGCGCAGATGATGAGCTAACCGAGGAGGTGATTTCTTCCAATGACCGATGAGTGAAGCGCATCAGAACTAGTGCATGATCCGACTCAACGCAGGTGGTCCAATATGATCTGCAATTCTGTACTGAACCAAACCAACGCGAGCTTACAACTGGTCGATCTGGGTCAACTTCCCTGTTGAACTAGAACACCATGTAGCCTGTGTCGAAAGTTGGTGCTAGACAAGAACAACCGATCATCCGCGCAGGGCTGAAGTAGTCGATCACCGTTGTCTGTTCGAAGAGCGAAGTGTCCTAGACAAGCTTCGGATGTGCTCAGTTTCCCAACCTGCGCGTTAAAATCACCTGCCAGTACTATAATATCAGAGTTGCGACCCAACCGAATGCGCTATTCGTGAAACTCGTCTTTTTTGTGAATGGGGAGTGCATTTGGTTGGTGCATATGCTGCATGATGAACAAACACCTTTTGGTGTTGCTGCCCTTCCGAACACTAACTAAAGCCAGGAGACTCGTTGCGCACAAACGACTATTGACGAATATCCAATCTACCAGTGAGGTTTCAGCTTTATCATTTTATACGATTCCTGCACCACGCTGATCCAGTGAGCGGGCTCCATCGTCTCCTGATGTACGAGGGAAATACCTCGAGGACAAACTCGGCGCGCTCAGGTGGCTTATAGTACTAGGATCCTGAATTCGTGCCTCCGATATGCAACAATGCCAATTTCCAAGGAACCCTTTGTGCACGCAAGACACGCGTTTTGACCTACCTGCACAAGGGTCGTCACGTTGAAAGCCCCTCAGATTGAGAGAGGCTTCAAAATCTGCACTCTGTTTACAGTGCTGTTTGGTAACGAGCTCTAGAGAGTGGCAAATTAGTTCAGTGATGGGATGTTATGGGTCTGAAGAATGATAAAATAAACGAGGGTTGGGTGAAGGAGACAAAGGGTTAAACAAAGGTTGGAATGAGACAGCTGTTATGTCAAGATTAAGCTTTCGGTTCCGAGAAACATTCGTGGCTGTGACATTTATTCTACTCTTATCTCATTATATATGTATGTATATATCACACGGACTCCTTCAATTTCGTGATGTTCGTGGCAGTAGTTATCGATGCATTACTCTAGATGACCGTATGTGAACGCGGTTAGAAATAACTGATCGAGATTTGTCTGAAATTCATTGAACGTCACAACAGAATTGTTGGTTTAACCCTTACAGACTAAATGTGATCACCTAAATTCGTCACTCATTTCGTTTATAATACATGAATTCAGTTTAATAGTATATCCAACAAGACAAATGATCCTGAAATAAGTGCTTACAATCTTCATGTTGCTTTCAGGTATGGCCTTCCAGTAGACTTCCAAGCTGTCCTGATTCAACCGAACAGAAAAGCTCACAAACGCCTGCGCGAGGTACTCAAGCAGCTGTATAGTCACTTGGATAGCGCGTCAGCGAGTTCAATTGTCGATGTGAGTATCTTTTTAAGTCACGGTGTTTTATAATGGAATTTTCTTGTCACCAAAGGATAGTTTGTTGCTTTACCACATTATTTAATACAACCAGGGTAGTCAGTAACATGATATTCGTCAAATACTTATGTTTATTCTTGTTTCCACCTGTAGGACGACGTCGCCCTCGTCGGTATGATTTCCGGAGCCGAATACTACCCTTATGTGTCATTCAAGGTGGAATTGAACATAATCGAGACTCGCTAAATCCGTCAATCGAATCTGCAGTTACCCAAAATTGGGTGTCAATCGCATAATACCCTATTTTCGTGACTTGATTATTGGTTACCGCTGCTCCACTTGTCGGAAAAAGCGAGTAAGGAAATCCACGCGTGACCCGATCATCACTTCAATTTAACCCGACTCAAGTCCAAATTACCTCTTTATCATGATCCCCTGTTGCTGTTGTCTCTGTTTTCATTGCTCTTTTGGATTTTCGGTTCTTTTTCCGCATAAAATATATTTAGACAAATGAGCTCACTTGGAGTTGATTTGGAGCGATTACCTAGCCCATGCATTCCAAGAATGAAGCAATACAATTGTGATATTTACCATATACGTTTTTTTCACAAGTACCAGGGGTAGTAGTGAACAGTATGTTGCAGGATGGACTGGTAGCGCTTTTGTGAACAGTATTTAAAAAAGGACTAGGGGGCTACATGAGATAGGAAGAAAAAAAGTCAAACTTTCTCTGTTCTCACACCACTGATAGTGAGACGCTGACCGCGTCGAATGATGGTAATCGTGAGCTCATCTCGATTCTCCGCCGCAGCGTAAACTTGTTGTGCATTTGTTATAGGTAGTCCATCAATAGCAACGATTACATCTCCGGCCCTAAGACCGGCTCTGAAATAAAAAGCAGATGGGAAAGTTCAACAGTAAATTGGTGTGCAACAACACGGAGAAATCTGTCTAAATTGTAAAAGTAATAAACTTGACCTGATCGTGTTTATGATACTACCGAACACTTGGCTGTGAATAATACGCCGCATATCGCAGTGTGAGCAAGAAAAAAGTCATAAACGGTTTTCCAGGGAAGGTATTTTCTTAATGTAGTAATATTGTGTATCATCATGGGAAAACGAAGATTTTCGGTCTGGCAACATCTGCATAGCACGACGTTACATCTTGTGCAACTCGAAGAACATAGTATTTGTTGATGACCGACGGGAATCAGCTACACAGGAAAACACTTAGGATTTTCATACGATGCAATCGTCCGAGTAACATCAACCAAGTGTAGGTCGGGATGAATTACACGGCCGGGGAGCACAGTACAGATTTGTCACCTGGATAAGAGCGCCATTTGGACAGGGACGTGCTCACGTTACAGACAAAATCAACTAGTACGTTCCTGAAAGTAATCTTTAGGCATTAAAGACCAAAGCAATCATTAGCTAAAGATTGGGTGACAGTCACTGCTAGCTAATAGCACTCACTTCTGAGCTGGGGAGTTACGCAAAATGGCGTGAATGAGGACACCTTCAGTGATTTCAAGAAATTGTGGTCCACCACGTGAGGCCAATTCAAAGGCTAACTCAGGAGTTAGAGTTCGCATAACTAGACCGAGATATCGACGTTGTGGTGCCCCACGAGGTGGTGATCCAGATTCCGTCAATATGTACGAGTCACCAGCTACCTCAGGAGTACCGTGAGCAGATTTTTCAGCACGCTGGGATGCCTGCAACGCCAGTTCCGAAAATTTGCGTACTTGATCGACCGGGATGGCAAACCCCACTCCGATACCCGCAATCATAGAGTTAACACCAATTACCTCCCCGTAAAGGTTCACCAATGGACCACCGGAGTTACCTACCTGAAAAGAAAAAAGCGAGTCTTCGGTTTTTATCGAGGCAACAAGACACTGTGAAATGGTATCAATAAAAATACGAGCTAATGACCGAGGTAACAGAAAATTATTTTGATTGAGATCTGTGGTAAAATGCAATAGATGTAACGGTTGTAAAGAATCATTGATCAACTCTCATCCATAACCGGTCACTAATTTGTGATTTACCGCATTTAGGCCACCGTTCGCGACTCGTGAATTATCCTAATCCGGAAAAAGGGGACAGTGAATTTGTAACACTATAAAAGAACCTGACACGTTTGCCGGAAGATTACATCATAAAATTTAACGGAATGTGCTGTGAGCAGATAGATGCTTAACAAAGGTGTCGTATCTCGTCTTGATTGGCAGTTCATGTAACGGCCGAAAAAATTACCATGGAGCGACAAGTGAACACCAACACAAAGCGTAGCACCGATGCAACCACATGTTCCTCTCTCAGCTGGGTACCTAAAGGATCTTGCAAATGATTAATCATAAGCACATTGCAAAGAATGCGACAATACACAAACAGAGGCAGCAACTCAATTGCAATTTTATTACAACTACCACCGAAGTCGTGCGTGAATGAAAATTACGGTGTTCACCGCCTTTAGTGCACACTGAACCGCTTTATCCTTATTTATTGACTCGAAACAATTATCGGCTTGTGTGCGCACGCTTGGATGATGTACATTTTTTCTGCCAAAATCATTGGACATGGTCGAGTCTAGGCTCATTCGACTCAGTTATCTTGCCATGATGTTACCCCTTTCTGGATTTCCTTTGGCGGTTTTAATGGGTCGCGGCACCCTACAGAAAATGGACTGTACACTCGTATGTTCAGTAAATAAAAAGGGAGTGAAAACATTAGCATTTTAAATCGCAGAGCTTTTCCACAATACTGACGGAATACTGTAGTGACATTCAAGTTCGCGTAAGTATTTTTATTTCTGCTCCCTACCAGTGGGCTGCACGAATCGACGCCCCATACAAGTGGTCCCGGTCGAGCTGTCTAAGCTTAACTGCACGTGGGCTACAGCTAATATGTATATAGTTCACAATAACACTAGCATTTGTTTGTTCCGCGGCAAATCAATACTTGCAAGTTGGTCTTTGCTATTGTTGTATGTGCTGATCATTGTAGCCAATTCAGCTGAATGGCCGGTCTAGTTGAACCGCTTTTGTTTTACTTGACCTTTGTCAACCGCAGTCAGCCTGCTATTTGTATACGACCGAAAATTGGGGCGTCGGAGCATGTCAGCAGGTGCGCTAGCGTAGGTAACGAGTACGAAAACGCAACGCTGCGTCGAAAACCGTAGCCAAGAAAAGAAAGAGATCTTAGGCCCTAAGTTGAGCTATAAATTCACATGGGGATCGATACTCAACCTGCGAGTATCATACACTCTTGGCGTCGGCCGACCTCGCCTCACACCAGAGAATATAATTTAGCTTAGGTGACGTTGACGACTTCATCCGATACAGACACGATTCTTCTGTCTACCTGTCTCCTCCGAAAAGGTTAGGATAAAACTGGAATCCCACAAGTATACGCGAAGCAGCTACGGTATGAATGCAGTCCCGCAACTTGAAAAGCCAAACAAATCCTAATGTAAACAAAATGGTTACAGGTCATTGAAACATTTACTGAATGCTGTAACGTAAGAGTTTGTCTCTGTTCAAAATGAGGAAACAAGACTAAGTGCCGGCTCAAGGTAGTTACGTGACAAATAACGGTAGCGTAATCGAGGAAGCAACCACTCACATTTCCAGGGCACGAGCAGCATACGTAACACCGTTGGTGCAGACGAGATGTTTGGTTGAAAATGAAAGGTCGTGTATACTGTGCCAGTGTTCTCGGTCAGTTCCGCTTCACGGGTGCGAGACAGTAAATTTGCGCGTGGAAGACATTCATCACCCAGAACGACCACAAAAAGAGCTGTCCTCCGGACGATTGTTCATTTGATTAGAAAAACCTGAGACCTTAGTTCATTTCTCAGGTAATAGTCTTTTGCAACGCGTAGATGAATGAAATCCGCGGGAGCAGTTTTTTCAAACGTTATGACAGTTTCTACCTCACAACGATGTCAGTGAACGAAAACATTACCGATAGAGAATATATCAAGCCTAAACAAAGATTCCGGATACTGGTGGGATTTAAACCCGCATCGTTGGGCCAGTTGCAGTCTATGCCATTCACCTGCTTATTACAGTATGAACAATTTAGGGCTCTTAGCCACCAATCGGTCACGAAGTTAGAAATAAAACGCTACTATCCCGACTTTATCCCTTTGTTTCCCAATAAAATGGTGCCATATGAATGCAAAGGCAACGTACGGTAATGATAGCATCAGTTTGTATATATTTCAATCCTTCGGAATGCCCCAGATCTCGGTCCAACGCGGAAACCACGCCCACAGTCACACTGTTAGCCAGCATCAACGGGCTGCCCAAAGCGAGCACGAAATGACCAGGGCGCACAGATTTCAGGTCTCGTGCAAGCGGCAGCTGAGGTAGAGAGCGAGCAGTTTCAGGTTTGACATCTAACTGCATGTAAAAAAACGGAATAATGAAAAAGAGATGACAGAATGAGAAACAAGCGATAACCGTTTTTTGTTTCGTTCTCAATTTCAGTACTGTTCCTTGGCGAAGTCAATTAGAAGCAGGCTATTGGGAAATACAACAAAAGTGAGATCAACTCATTTTCAGGCCGTACGACTCAATGCAGCACCGAATCGATCTGATCTTTTGACTTCAGGTGGGGTATAGGGGGAAGCAGAGGAAGAGAGAATGAGAAAAATACATAGTCATAGGAAGATGTAAGTAAATCATAGCTTCCATGCCAGACTGCACGGTTTGACTCCGACCTGGTTAGTGGATCCTAGACCATCTACTTTTACTCAATTTTTACATTGTATCTCACAATTGTCCTCTTTTATTGTACCTGAGTGTGATAAACAGCAGACGAGGTCAACTCCATAGTAACAAAGACCTGCTGTTCTGTGATAGAAACTGGTGCCCTAAATCGCGGGACTTGGAGTGGCGAACCACATAAGGCCCCCCTAGGTTGGGCGTGGTATTGAACAGGTGGACAGCAGCAAAGCTGGCTCTAACCCAAACAAATCACAGTACCGCATAGAGTAGATTTGAACGACCTTACTCTATGCGGTACTGTATGGATTATTTTAGGGAGTCCGTAAAACAATAAGAGACATCAACTACTGGAAGAGTTCGTACGGTGCTTATCANAGGGATTACCACTCGACATACATGGACGAACAGACAAGGGTTAGAAGAAAAACGCCAAACAACACCGATAGAGATTTCGAAAGAATGCGCTAATGTACAGAACTTAAACCTCTTAATTTATTCAATCTAAAAAATTGAGATAGCAAATGTTGGAACTACAACAAAAATAATAAGCGGTCAAACACATAAGCTTGAAGTTGTGGGCTGTGAGAGGATCAAGTACAGCAGACAAACTGGTGAAGCACATCCGGCTGGCTAAAATACTTACAATGGCACACAGCTATTCGCTTCNGATGTTAGTTTCTTCCGCAGTCTCACTGTCCTCTATCCCCTTTCACCCCCGTGATACAGTTGTTTATCGAACAAAGGCTTACACCGAGGCCTTCACTCCCCTGATCTCTACTGACGAGTGGTTGGATCGGACTATATACCGTAACACACACACATTTTGTTACGAATACATATACTGGATCGATTTACCGAGCTTAAAGGTCACGACAGAAAACGAACCACATATCAAGCACAGTACGATTACACTAAACTGGTGTTCTGCGCAAAATCAATTCGGCTGTACGATTAGGCATAGGTAAAAACAGTAGATTATGGATGGAGTCTTATGGTTTGAATAACCATTTTGTAGATGAATTGAGATGAATTTCTACCCAGAGTATGCCAACAGTAACCAATTGGAGTCGTGTGCTGTCACGAGCTCACTAAAAAACGCGTAAATCACCATTGAAAACAGTCTATCAATGCCAGAATTAAAACGGGCATATTTGTTACAATGAGAGGAAGACAACCGATCAGTCCTATCGTACCGCTTCGAAATACAGCCCTGTGCAAGAGCTCCAAATGAAAGAAGTACATACTATTTGGAGTCACGTACTAATATCGGCCAGTAAACTCTAGGCGAGTTCTCGATCGTGTGTGTGTGTGTTGAGTCCCGTTCATGTTTATTTTTAGATGGACAGTATTTAGTTCAGTTCAGTTTGTACAAACATTAACCATGCACTATCGCGCGTCGGTTTGAGTAGTTATCCTTTGGCTGTCTATTTGGATGAACATAAGGAGAAAGACAGTAAGAGGTAGAAGATAGGATCAAAGAGAAAATAGAGAATTTCAGTGGATTATTATTGCAGAGAAATCGACAAGATGCACGAACGCCAATGTTTACGACGCATGTCCCAACCAAAGCATTCTATGCAAGTCGACCATTTGTTCCAGTGGGCGACTGCGTTTACCTACAACTCTGCGCCTAACCACAGCATTGCTTGTCCCGCTGCCCAACCAGATTTGAGCAATGTTGCGTCGACAGCGGTGTTCAAACACCGACAGTCTATCTTTGTCCTGTTCTCTTAATGGCCAAGTTTCTTCGCCGTATTGCAGTATTAAACGAAGAGCACAGATATTTTGATAAATATTCTCACAATCCGTTCGGATTACCCGAAGTGTTTGAAAAAGAATCAAAAACGAAAAAACAGCAGAGAATAAACGCGGTGTTGGACAAAGTATTTAACCTGTTTTCACAGGCACAATTTTTATCACACGAGTTTTGTCGTTCCCTAAAGAAAAAAATCACGTTCTTTTGAGGAATGGACTTCGTTCATGCTTTTGGACTCAGACGTAAGCAGCATCTACACCTGGAAACCAGATTCTGTCACGTGAACTGCGTAAAGACATATATCGGAATCTATCGCTTCGTGAAAATCGAAGAAAGACCTGACCTTTTCGCCCTCCCAACTAGTTCACAGTAGATCAATGGCCATGGGGTGCACCCTATTTGGTTTTGAAGCACTGTGTGCAGGAAATACCATGTTGTGTGAAAACAAATAGAAACTAGACCGCCAAAGGAGAATGCAAAATCGGCAAAAATACGAATTGACAGATGGAAAATGCTCACTTGAATAAGAGCCAAGTCAGAAGAGACGTCCACGGCTAAAACACGACCCGGATAGGAACGTCCATCGGATAAATGCACAAACACATCTGATCGATAACCCACAACATGTGCATTAGTAATTACGTGTCCAGAGTCATCAATAATAAATCCCGAACCGGAAGATTGTATATGGCGTGAAAGGAATCCTTTACTACGAAGAAGAGAGATGAGGTATGGCCGGTTACTATTCTTGATCTCATATCAAAAGTTAACGTATTCACTAACGGGAGGAAAAAATTTTTTAGTAGCCCTGAAACATAAGTTTACTTTGACTCCCACAACTACGAAGAACGAACCAGTCGTGCACAGATCCAGAGGGACAGAAAAAGTAAAATAACATTGTTTAGAACACATAGCAACACTTTCAAGGGTTCTTAAAGACACTTCGGTTGACCAAAAAACATTGAATGAATCTGACAGCCAAAGGATTTGGTATCTTGAACCAGTTTAATAAAACCACACTTCGCGGCATGAGTGATAAGCATTGAGGAACCTTTTCCGGGAAATGTACACTATATGTTTTAACCAAAGCGACCCTTGGTCTTGAACATCATCATTCAGTATTCCCCATCGCGACGAGACTGCGCCTTGACGTGGTGTGATGGCTTGTGTGCTTCCATGACCCTGCGAGCTACACAGGATGGCTACTCAGCCGCAGATCCAATCATGCCTGAAAGGTCATAGGGTAGAGGCCAGACGAAGCTCAAAAGGTCAGCTGCTTGGGAATCTCCTGGCTTCCTTTTATTATTCACTCTCGCCCCCGGAGAGGTCACTCCAGCAATAAACACAGTGAGGGGCAATTTACCGGTCAAAATCCCAGCTAGATAGACATAGGAGTGGGGTATCTGGGGCTTCTTCTCCCCATGGGAGGTCTTCGCACTTCACGGGACAGCCAACTGCCCACTGGGAGTAGATCGATGCCACTGTCCTCGCAAGTGGATAGGGCTGTTTCGATAATCAAATCTACGACAAAGTTAAATAGAAAAGGGGAGAGAGGGTAACCTTGACGAACACCACTTTCCGTGGTGAACTCGGGCGAAAAAGTGCCGTGCGCGGCCTCGGCTTTCAGTATAAAGGGATCGCGATCTTGAGATAAACTTCTCGGGCACACCCTTCAGAGAGAGGCAGCGCCCGAGTTTAGAGTGGTCGACTGAGTCAAAAGCCGCTTTCAAATCCAGGAAAACAGAGATGGCAGGTCTACGAAAGGAATGTTGTTGCACTCGAATTTGGCGAAGAGTGAAGATGTGGTCGACACAACCTACACCAGGTCTAAAATCAACCTGATTCTCACGCGTGCACCTTCACGTGCAGTGGACAAACGACGAATTATGATCACAGTGAGAAGTTTAGAGTCAATATTGATTAAGCTAATTCCTCTGCGGTCTTCAGTAGAGGATCTGTCACGTTCCTCGTAAATCGATAATATGACCGAGTCACACCATTCAGTTGGAATCTGTTCGCGCTCCGATATCGACCCCAGGAGTTTCGTCAACTCTAAGACAAAGGCTGACCCTCCATCCTTAAACGCCCATGCGAGCAGTTCATCTGGGCCGGATGCCTCTTGAGAAAAACTATTCCCTGGGAAACCTCCATTTAAGATGGAGGACTGGCATCAACTAGGAGTATTTACTCAGTCGAAGTGCGGGGTGACAAGTCTGATATCGATAGCGGCCGGTTGAACTGAGCCTCGAAATATTCAGCCCATTGAACAAGACGGCGTTGTCAATGATGAATCAGTATGCAAATGCCTAAATAGGGGAAACAATATACTGTAGTCTATCATGACCACCAAGCACCAGAGTACGGATAGACGATGTCCATTATTGTAGCATTAGTTCGACTTTGAAGGTGTGAAGCACATACTGAGCGAAGAGACAGATCTTGCTAGTCTGTCAGGTGTATCTTAACGACATTTGTAGATCAGACGAACGATGTCGTCAGCGTACACTAAGTCGCACAGGTTTTCTCCCGTTACCCATTCAATATCAACATTTGGGAGAACACTTAGTGTTCTCCAATACCGTTTCTACGACGATATTAAATAGGACTGGCGAGATATTTAACCCCTGAAGAACAACTAAGCCAATTTCGATCTGCTTCGATTGCTGCAGACCCCTACTAAACGAGAATTATGCGATTACAGCGACCCCAACGGTTTCGAATATATCTGGGGGATTCCGGTGCGAAGAAGCGAGTCGCTTAGGGTTCTTGGATAAACTGGGTCGAAGGCTCGTTCCAAGTAGAGGAATACTTCGGTCGTTGATTGACGACATGTGCGACCCAGCGGTCAAGCTGTTGCTTCTTAATGTGAAGGCCTTGTTAAGTTATATAGTAGATGGTTTCGCTGATAAGCATTCGACGACTTACCGTATTACGTAACAGATGAAACAGACTTTGACTATTTACTGAGAACTTTGAACTAGTTGTATCCGCCCGAAAAATGTCACGATCTTTCCCAGGTTTTTTCATGTGTTGATGTTGTACAGCGCGGTCCTGTAAGATGATCGAAGCAATTGTGAAATTCATCTGAGCTCCATGGATGAGTACCGTTATAGGGAGTTGAACTACTAAACAGGTTATCACGCGTAAGTAGTAGGTCCTAGTAACTAAGGGGCATACTCGTTTTAACACTGCTGATCAGAATATATATTCTCGGACTGCTCTACGTCACTGCCTTATACAGAAGAACGCTTCGTCCGATTAAAATCACTCGAACATTTATTTGTAAAAATTATACCATGAAAGCGACAAGAAACCCCCCAGGATTTGAAAGGCGGCATAGAGCAGAGCTCAATTTTGTTATTTACTGATTTTATGTAAAGCGAACTGAGTCAAGTATTATAAAAAAATCAAATAAGAAATTCCATCTAGCTTGGTGGAGTTTCGAGCTACCTTAGGCAGATTTTTGAGGCCTTTACTTCAGTTTCGCCATGCTACAAGTTATTTCTGTAAGTTGAATTCTATTGATGAAGAAAACTGAAATCATTCGATCATGAATCACTTGTAGGCCCATGAGGTCAGAATAACCCCTTCATGTACAAAAAGCGGAGGAAATAAATAACGATTATGGTGGTCCTTACTCACTCTCTACTGGTGATAGACACAACAGCGGGTTGCACTTCTTGAGCGACATCGGCTACCACATCCAATGAACGAATGGCGGACAGCCTCTCCTTGGACGGTTGTGGTTTCACCTTCTCAGCACAGTAGACAGTGAGTGGGAAGGTGGGTGATGATTCGAACTTTTCATTTGGAAACAGATACCACCAGAGCAAACCGAAACCAGCGCCGATGGCAAAAGGACCGAAATGAGATGACTGTTGGTCAGTGCGTTGATCGCCATGGGGGCGACGGATCGGTTCAGATAGTGATTCGTAGGTGGATCCGGAGAGCAAGCGGGAAGCGAAAACCAAATGAGGTTGAAGCGAACGACCCGCTGGCCATCGGCGGATATAGGGAAACAACGTGGATATCCGAAAAGGTCGCTAAAAATGGAAAGGTAAAGACTATCTATCTGTAAAGATTGGTGGTATAAAAATAACATACAGACGAGGTTCGAGTCAGGTGTGTGCGAAAGATGAGGCAGGAAATGAAATAAAACAGACCGAAATAAGTGAAATGAACAAGCATGCAAGCTAAAGCCATAGATAACAACGGAAACTGGCGAATGACATATTAAGATCTTGATCAACTTCGTTGCAGAATCACCGATAAAAATAACACGGAAGCAAAAAACGAAGTTGCCGCTAACCTTAGCTGTTGACAAAGAGTAAATATTTGCGCGAGATTTGAGTGCTCTGCTTAGGAAATTAACTGCTGATTTTACCGACATAGAAGAAAAATGGAATACCGCCTATTAAACAAGTACTCAAAATGTTCTATCAAGTAATGAATTGATGGGCAGAACTGTTTGCAGAGTTGATCAACACCTCGGCTCAAGGTAACCGCCGTTGAAAACTATCTAGTGATTAGAGTAACAAATATCCCAACCATCTTAATTCCTGAGGATTAGATAATGAATCCTATCACCGGAAATTCCTAGCCTAACGTCTCGAAAGCAGGACTTAGAACTAGCTATTTGGCAAACGCAAAACAACAAAGCCACGGTAACAGATGGCTCCCATTCGTGTGATAGCGAATTCATCACCCAAATATTGGAATAAAACATCTTGTAATCCATGCTTGATAAGTGGCATATGGTAATAAACTCCAGAGACTTGCAACTCACAGTTGATACCATTCAGTTAGCAGATGTCCGTCTTATGCTTGACATACGTTCAGTAAGTTAAAAAAGTTTTAACCTAGCGAACAGAATGGGTGTTCTGTTTTTTCTTCGTATAATGGAGTTGAGGAGGGATAACAAAAACAAAATAAAGACGAACGCCTTTTGATGCAATCATTAGAAGGTCGCGTAAAGGAAAAGTCCAGTTAACTGTGTCGGAAGTCGCTTTCAAACAGGTGAAGATAGCTTCACAAGGTCTATATCGTGTCAGTAGTCGAACAAACCGTAGACGATCGGATGTTTTCAGTGGTTTCATTTTCGTGCCGTCAAAATATTTATTCAACGACGGAAGACTGGTTTACACTGTTAACGAAAGTTGGCCTAGTACCATTATGATGGTTACCGAAAATTGATAATGCAATGTGCGAACAAAATGATGACGCAACCTAGAGAATGTGACATGGTGAATCTATGGTTTTCGGTTGTCATACTGTGTTTGTTCGCCTTTCACCTACCCACTATATTCTGCGTGAACTCATTTTACCTTCATTCAGATCCCCAACTTATCGAATCCCGGATAAATGTGATTGTAAGAATGAAATCGTAAATGAGAAACTTTCGGTGATTGATAATGAGCTTGTTTCTCTAAAGCTTCAGCTCCAGCTCCAGCTTTTATAACCGTTAACCATGCCCTTTCATGGGCTAGTTTTGGTTGCTGTCGTTTGGTCGCCCATTTAGATAAAAGACCAGAATGTGGATTGGAATGTTCAGAGCAAATTCAAGCGGAAGATACAGAATTCATATAGACTGATGTTACAAGATTAATGAGTAGATGCATGAGCGCCACCCAGCCATAACGCGCAGTATCTCTAACCACCGGTGACCATGTTTTCAGGGTCCCAATCTGGGGAGACTAACGGGACCTGTGTGACCAAGCCTCCTGGTTAGGGATTTCATACCCTCGTGCAATATCTTGGTTTGATCGCCCTTGAAATTTTTCTAACCGGTACCTGCCTAAACAAACATCGCTCACCGTGGCAACCAATCAATACCTATGGCTCAATTTTCATGTATGGAATATCATCTTACAATGCGCAGTTTATGCTTGCTGGTATAAACGAAGGCGAACTTGTTTATGGTAATTAAGGCTGATGATGCTTACTCCCACCACGACGAGACTACATCTTGACGTGGTGTGATGGTTTGTGCTATTCTGTGACCCAACGAGCTGCACAGGATGGCTTTATCAAGCCAGGAGATCTTATCATGCCTGGAGGTCAGACGAAGCTCAGTCTCCTGATCCTCCAGGTTGGGGGTTCGCCTGGAATTGGCGTTTCAGTCAATAAAAAGCGGTGGAGGAGTAACCGATCCAAGTAAATGGGTCTCCACTGCGCCTCACCCGCTGCCTCGCGGTTAGGTTCTTGTTAGAACTAAAGGATTTGGACGAGAATCTTAATCTTTCTCCTGCTTAGTGGCTGGACACCCTAGCAGTACCCGTCCAACAAACCCCAATGCATACACAAACAAAAAATAATTTTATACTGCATCGGTCGTCGCGCAGGATAATCAG